AAAAAAAATTTTTTTTCAAAATTATTTTTAAGTTGAAGATGGAAGTCTGAAGTAAGAACTTCTACAAAATTCAACTTCCCTCACATAACAGGAAAGCTTAATAGTAATAATAGTAATTTAGTAAAATTTATTGGATAACAATTTTCACGCTAAATTATAGAAATTTGAAATGGAGTATCTGAGTTGTCGGATTTTCTTATGATTTGCCAGATTCAGTGATTCTTTTTGGGTAAATTTGACTTGAATTTGAAGTGATAAATTAATTTAAGTTCAGAAAATTTGATGTAAAACTTGTAATTGGTATCGAAAGTTGCTCAAGTTCCTTTGTATACTTTGAAATGATAAAATAATAGTTATTAATTGAGAATTTAATTCTAATAGGTTTTAATTGTGCTATATACTGAGAGACCTTTTGGACTGCAGCTGAACAAGGTAAGTGACAGCAGCGCCACTATGGTTTTGGTGTGCGGCGGTACAATTTTGGTAACGTGACTGTCCAAAATGTTGGTGAGTAGCTCACCGAAATAGTGGGACGCCACATTCGGTTTGTAGCTGTACAACTTTTTGTCAGTCACGCGCCCAAAAATGTACCGCAGCAGCCCAAACGTATAGTCTTGTAGCTTACCAACAGAATGCTCCACAGCCCCCTGTCGAAAGACGGCTACGGTGCAAAAGGTCTCTCAGTGTAGGTAAATAAATAATTTTTTTTTCAATCAAAACATAATTATATTTGTGAATTTTTTTTACTGGCCAGAATAAAAAAAATGAACTGCTAATAATAGATTACATCCAAGTTAATAAAGAAATAAAATAATAAAGGGAAGAAATTCTCAATAAAGTTAACAGACAGTGCCTTCTAGAAATCTTCCTCTTGAATTTCTTCTCTTAACGAGGGAACCAAACAGTTTGTAGCTCTCGGTTCCAACGCTGAAACATAATCGTATAAACAAGATTAAAATACCTGTTAAAAAAAGAATAAATAAATAAAAAAAGAAAATTCTTATATGTTCTAAATAAATTAAATTATCTTAAATATAGAATCAACCGTTTCCTGAATTAATTATAATAAATGATAATCACTTTTGATCGTAATACTAACGATGTCCCACCCTTGATAGCTTGATACTGGTTCTTCCCATTCCAGTTTATATTTCTGTAAATACACCAAGGCAAGGGCTGGACTTCTCGGACGATACCCTCTCGTTGGGGGAATGCTGGAAAGACATGACAGCGGGCTAGAAAAAAATTATAATGTTTCTGTATGTCTGTATATAGTATACGAATAATAATAATAACGTTTCTTGGTTTCAAAAACTAAAAAAAAAATTATACTTACAGATAGCTTGTGTTCACCCCGAGCACACCAGTTATTTCCTCCATTGGTTCATCAAATGAAACTTCGGTAGTGGCAGGAAATTTGAAGTTTTCCGGGGCCCAATACTTTCCCACTTCGTATTTTGCTATCTCCCAATCCCATCTACATTCTTGATGCCAAACTGCATCATCGTAAGGCGCATCCCTAATGTAGAAAGATGCTATGTCCAAGGGCCAATTTTCGACATTATTCCTTATTGTAGCATCCGCCCAATCGGATATAATGATTTGAACACTAAAGGAACAGGAAAAAGGAGAAATGATAACCTGTGTAAGTATTTTTCTTCTTCTTGTTCGTTGATTTTCTTAACATTTTTTTTTATTTTCTTTCTTTTGTGATATTATTTTACTACCCACGAGGATCAATTTAATTTGGTTTTTATTTGTTACAGGTTGAACTCTTATTTGATCCAAATTGGTTCCAAATTGAGAAACTGAATTTAATTTGTTTTAGTTATTTAGTTATTCAGTTTACTGTTTTGTTGTGTGGTATAAATGAGCTCGAATATAATAGTTTGAAAAAGGTTATTAAACATAAATAATTAACTTAACATAAAAAGTGATGGTTATTAGTCCTAATACATATTTGAGTACTACGGGTGTTTTCGACGTAACCTCTGAGGATCCTTAGTGAGCATTCAGTGGTACTCAAATCTTGTTTCTTTAATTTTTAAAATTCGTGTGCAAATATATGGACTTGTGAACAAGGTTTTATTCAAATTCTACGCAGTTTTGCACGTAACGTCGCAGTTATGCGTATATTTATTCCGTTTGTTTTGATTCGTGCAACGTTAAATTAAATTTAATTAAATTTAAATCTCTGTGACTTTGTATTGTGAGTAAAAATGACCGAATTTCTTGATGTGGCAATTGACGATACCGGGGAATTAATATTAACCAATAAAGAACAGACTACACTCTCAAAATGGTTATGCGATGATGATGACCTTGATGATAATATTTATGGTAAGTACATAAAAAATAAATGTATAATCGAAATTTTTTAAAATAATTCAATTTTATCAAGAATCTAATAAATTACATTTTTTGTATGTATCTTTAATAAATTTTATTGTGAAACATAACATAATTTTTAGTTTTGTAGAAGCAACATTTTTTTCAACTGTCACACACTTTTTTCACCTTTTTCAAATTTTTTCATTTATTTCACCTATTCCGTTAAATTGTCTTCTATTTCGCTTATTTTTTAATTACATTGTTTTTTCTAAATCTAACGTCTAACTTTTAATCCGCCTCAAAGTGTTAATTAATAAAATATTCAATTATTCCAAATCCTTCTTATTATATTATCCTTCTTATTATATTAAGTTCTAAAACGACCGACACCGACCGACACCAAAAACAAATTTTTCGTTTTCTTTTTGAAGTTATTTACAGTTTTCCTTCAAAATTTGAAATCACATGCCTTACATACATGTCTATTCAAAAAAAAATGCCAAATTTTTTTTGCGCGATTTTTTGCAAAAAAAATTTTTTGCAATTTTTTGCAATTTTTTATTTTTTTACGATAATAAAACACAAAATACGTCACTATTTTAAATCTCAGCTAAAAAAAAATTTTTTTTACAAAGTTATGGCGATATTCAATTTCCCTCATATCCTTCTTATTATATTAAGTTCTAAAACGACCGACACCGACCGACACCAAAAACAAATTTTTCGTTTTCTTTTTGAAGTTATTTACAGTTTTCCTTCAAAATTTGAAATCACATGCCTTACATACATTTTAATTTTTTTTTGAAAATTTTTTAAATTATTTTTAAGTTTTTTAAAAGAAAAAATTTAATAAATAAAATAAATTTCTAAAAAGAATAGAGTTATCAACTTTTTAAAACTTGATCCTTAAGTAAGTGCAAATATTAAAAATTAAAAGTGTTCAATTGTTTTTTTAAGACTAGAAGTAAGTGCAAATATCAAAAATTTGCAGTGTTCAATTGTTCTTTTTTTATATTACTAGAATTAAGTGCAAATATCAAAGATAAAAAATGTTTGTTCTTTTTTGTACGACTAGAAGTAAGTGCAAATATCAAAGACTAAAAATATTTAATGGTTTTTTTTGTACGACTGGAAGTAAGTGCAAATATCGAAGATTAAAAATGTTTAATTGTTTTTTTTGTACGATTAGAAGTAAGTGCAAATATCAAAAATTTGCAGTGTTCAATTGTTCTTACATTTTTTATATATATTTTATGGTAAAGTAAATTTCAGTATTCTTTAAAAATTAGAAATTCTAACAAAAAGTTATTTTTACCGGTATTTTTGAAAACGTTTCCGGTTATGAAATCCCGGTTTTTGATTTTTTAAAAAATGCCGTTTTTTTAAATAGGTATATCGGTTTTTATTTTGAAACCGGGAACCGATTTCAAAACCGTTTTTCTAAAAAAAACCTCAAATTGTGCGGTAAATCGTTTTTTTCACTATTTTTGGAAACCGGTTTCTCGATATAAAATCCCAGTATATTTAAAAATACCGGATTCTTAAAAAATACAACATTTTAAATATGCCGGTTTCGGCTTTGAAACCTGAAACCGATCACAAAACTGGTTTTTCCAAAAACCGAAAGCCACGGTTTCGGTTTTTTTAATACCGCAAAGTCCTAAATTTCACTATCATATTCTAATTTTCCAATGTTTACTGATTATTTAATTTTAATTTGTTTTATTTTTATTTGATTGTTAATTACTTTTAAAAAATTTTATTTCAATTATTTACACTATCCTCCATAAGTATCAGGACACCTCTTTTTTCATGAGTGGCAAAATGCTTAAAACGTAGAAAATAAGGAGGACAAAATTTTTTCTTATTTTTTCCCTGAAAGCTAATAAAATTATAAAAAGAATTACACCCGATAGAGGAATTTTCGTTAATTATTCTGTCAGATACAGAAAAAAGTGGATTTTCGTAATTTTTTAATTTCTCGAAAACTAATTAACTTTGTTTACCGTTCTTGGTCTAGTTTTAATATCTATTCAATGTAGAATCTAAATTATTTACTGGTATTGTGATATAAATTTTCCCAAAAAATTTGAAAAAGTGAAAGTCCGATAAAAATACACTTAAATTCGAAAAAGCTTTTTAATTACTTATTTATTTGATTTTTAAAAATTATTTTTTTGTTGGAAAAGTGGCAATCTGTTTTTCAAAATTTTTTTATCCGACTTTAACTTTTTCAAATTTTTTGGAAAAATTTATATCACAATACCAGTAAATAATTTAGATTCTACATTGAATAGAGATTAAAACTAAATCAAGAACGGTAAACAAAGTTAATTAGTTTTCGAGAAATTAAAAAATTACGAAAAGCATGCAGAATCAGGTGTAATTCTTTTCATAATGTCATTAGCTTGCAGGAAAAAAATACGAAAAAATTTTGTCATCCTCATTCTCTACATTTTAAGCATTTTTCCATTCATGAAAAAAGGGGCGTCTTGATACTTATGGACGGTACTGTATTTACAATTTGAATTTTCAAAATTATTTTAAATGATTTGTAAATAGATAATTTCAATAATTTAATTACAAATTAAAAAATTAAAATTAAATTAAATTTTTTTTTTGCAAAATTGCAAGAAGAAAAATTGAGTAAAAAAACTTACGTTTCCGAATTGTTAACGCTGCCAAGAATGTCGACATCCAAGCTCGAGACACAGATTATTAGCAGGCACAGAAAAGCTCGACTTCTCAAGGCACGTTGACGATTAATTGACGTTTCCTTTCATTCCTCGAATAGATTCAAAATTCATTTTGTCATCGTCATCCAGTTCATCATTTAAATTGAGACACAAATTGTGCAAGCAACAACAAGCTAAGACGTTAAGGGCCGCGTATTCAATATTCTGCAGATATAAATATTTCAATCGTCTGAAGCGGGATAACAGCAATGCAAAAGTCCGTTCAATGATTTGGCGCGTTTGTGAATGAAGAAAATTGAAGTTCCTTTGCACTGGTGTTAAATTTCCATAATCTTTATACGGTGGCAATACATTAAATTGCGGCGTATAAGCTTTGTCACCAAGTATGTGAGTCTGATTTGGAAAATAGTCGTTGTAATGATCAGTACTCTCTTGATTAATGGGACTTCTCTGCAAGACTCTCGCATCGTGTAAACTTCCACAGCATCCTGCAAAGACATCAGTAAAGCGTCTTTCATGATCGCAAATCCCTTGCAAAAGTATGGAATGATAATCGTGGCGATTTATGTAACTTTCCGGATGATCTGTGGGAGCACTTATAGGGATATGGCATCCGTCTACAGCCCCAATAACATCAGGAATTCCAGCCATATTTTCAAATTCTCTGGAAATGTTGATCATTTCCTCCCTTGTCCGCCATCGTATAAAGTCGTGCACACGCGAGCAAATGAACCAGCATACGTCCAGCACACACTCCCACGCTGTCGATTTGGCGACGTCAAATCTATCAGATATTGACCTATAAAAAATTGATAATTGTTAATCAATTTTTCACAATTTAGACACAATATATTTAATTTTATATTTTTTTCTTAGAAAACAAAAATGCCAAACAATTATTATCTACAAATCAAAAGAAACGGGAATTTGAATTGGAAAAATAGAAACGTAAAAACGTTTTAAAAACTATTGAGTAGAAAAAAATTCAAACGAGAAATAAAAGTAAAAAAAATAATAAGAATATTATAGCCTGAAAGTAGTTTCGATAAACGTTGTCCTATACACACAAATAGTACACAATAAACACATTAATTTTCACTATTTATTACCCTTTCAAATGCTTTAAAATAATAAGTTAATACTTTTTCACTGCTTTTTTATTATTAAAAAATCATATCTAAAACACTTTTCATTGAATTATATAAAAATTTGACAGAAAACCCTGACATAACAGTGCTCCATATTTTATCTTTTATTTCACTTATTTCGTATTAAGGTATCACATCGGTAAAACCGTTTTCTATAGATTTTCTTGAAAATTTTACCATATGTTCTTATTATCATTCTTGACAAATTTGCAAAATATGAAGAATTTTCGCCGTACGAAACCAGAGATATTAGCAATCAAAGTTGCTTATTTTGCATGGGAGACGGGACTAATGTATGGGGGAGAAGTACATTTTCATAAATATCATCAGAAGTTTTCTATAAATTTTTTTCAAAAACTAATGTTGAATTCACGAATAAATTTGGAACTAAAATATACAAAAAAATTTATAATTTACCGTGCCGTTTATTTGTAATTATAAATTAAAAATTCTATTTCATGACGTCATTTGCAATATATAGCACACCCGCCACTTTGATGTGGCAACATCGCAGGATGGTAACATTAGTTAGAGAGAGACAGTAGTCCACAGTAGTCAAAGCGAGACTTATAGCGACGTTGTCAAACCTCCTACTCCTTCCAATCGCTGCTAGTGTGGGGTATACGTGTACGAGTGTGTTTGTAGAAGTAGGTACAGTATGGGCTGAGAGTATAGGGAGTTGAGGGCGAAAGTATACTGCGGGAAGTAGTAATGCGAGCTACAAACTTTTGACTCCGATTAGTGCCGATGTGATACCTTAAATTGATACAAATAAGGTCCTAAATTACTCATGAACACTTTTTCTACAAATACCAATAAATACTTTATCATATTTTATTTTTTAAATAACATTTTTAGTGACCGTTGTGTTCCCAACGGTGTTTCAACGCTATTCCGTTCAAATCGCGTTGAACCCATCCACTAGGGATGAAATTTAAATTAATATTAATTTAATATAAACAAATAATATATTTATCATAAAATTATAATATTAATACCCACACGCACGGAAAGGCATAATAAAAACAATAAATTGTGCACTTTGAGAGTCTGCATCTTGTTTTTAAAAAAACGATTTCAAAAATAATTGTTGACAATAAATGATTTTAAAAAACTGCGATAGCTCAATTACTATCTCTTTTTTTAATGATAATTTAAAATTAAAAAGTGCTTTGGTAATAAATGGCTAGAGAAATTAATTTTTAATATTTTAAACAATTATAAATTGCATTATTAAATACAAATTATGATCATTTTTATTTATTTTTTAAACGCGAAACGTGCGACGATTTGAGTATAGTACAAAAAAGTTTCTTATAAATGAAAAAAAATCCATTTTGATTTAAATACAATTTTTAATTGTTCATAATTTAAATCTTAACATTTTGAGCAAAACATTTTTAATTAAAAATGTTTTATAAATTATACTTTTTCTTTATAAAGAAAACTACGCAAAAAATATATGCAGAAGAACTAACTACTACTATTCACATTTAAAAAAAAATTTCTTCAAACAAAAATGAATTGTCATTAAAAAAGATCAATTAATTAAATATTAATTAATTTACAAAAATAAAAACAATCACAAAAATGTCACTTGAAATACGTAAAAAAATTATTCCGTACGTACCTCTCGACATTTTTATGACGTCATTCTCAGGAATTATGCTCAAGCATTTTAGGCCGACGATCCTTAGGTCATTTTTCCATTTCCGGTCAGAAATTTTTCCAAACATTTACGAGAAATTTCAGTCAAAAAAAATGACATTCCGGTAAATTTTTCTAAAACTAAGATACGTTTCACATGTTGTCGCAAACTTTAAGCTCTGGGCCAATCAAAATAACTTATTTGGAAAACTGTGAAAAATTACATTTTCAAATCAATTGAGCACCACTGAATGCTCACTGAGGATCCTCAGAGGTTACGTCGAAAACACCCTACATATGAGAGTTTAATAATATAAAATTGTTGATTTCTTTAATTGATTAGAAAACATTACTTTTCGGAATAACGAATTTCAAGCCTGAACAAGCAGGTTGAATTATGAATTTGAAAATTTAGTAGATTTTAACAAAACGTAGTGCCTTCAAGATGATCATATAATTTTCTTATATTATCCCGGTATTAAAATCGTGTTCCTTTGGTAAAATTATGGATGAACTATTCTTATAACATAAATGGAAACAACCCTAATCAATTGTAACCAATTATTATCTTAATTTTTATCAATAGCGTACATTAACGGAGGAATGATATATATATAATATAAACTTTACGTTACAAATCAGTCACCTCAACCTTTAAAGTTAACTCATTCTTCTAGAAATCAGCGTTCTCCTGCCGATCTAATAATTAAATAATTCTCAAAATCACAAATCTAGCAAAGCGGAATAAAAAAATTAAAGTATGTGAGTCACGAGGAATCATTTTGTTGGCAAAATGATTCGCCGTGAATAAAAGTTTGATCAGAAATTACATTTTTAAAAGAATATCAATTTTTTTACCTCTAGAAGTGTAAGAGAAAATAATATTCACAATATTAGGCATGTAAAAATTTGAATTCGTTACTAAAAATATGATCTAAATTATAGCAAAACAATATTATTATTGCAGATTTAATATTAATATTTAATAAATCAAAATAGAACTTCGGTATTCTCTCCTAAAAAACATGAAAGCAAAGTCATACCCTGAGTTCTTTTCCAGTGCAACTAGTTTTTGGGGTCGAAAACAGGAATATCCACGTTGGTTTGTTATTGACCATACGTAACATATAAAATAAAATTTTATATTCTATTTAAAAATTAATTAAAATCATTTTGAAATAATTTTAATACTCCGGACACCAAATTAAGAATGCGGAACTAAGCATTTTTAAGTTGCGCAGGAAAGGAACTCAGGCCAAGACTTTTAACGAATTTTCTTTCTGTGCTGAAAATACAATTCCACCCACTAACATTATTTTATTTTTCATGGTTTTCAGAAAACGTTCTAATAAACATAAGAATATATTAATTTGTGAAGAGTAATAAGTTTCTTAACCTTCATTAATTGATTGGTCTTTTATTTACAATATAAAAATGGTATCTAGTTTAGTTAATAATGTCATTGCAAGGCTCGCGACTATTGCAGTACACTAGTAACCTTGCAGCGACATTGCTGACATCTTCGTGAATTCTTAGCGAGCCGCAATTTGGGAAGGTTGTGGCATCAAAAGTAAATTTCATGACAATATTCTAAAACTAATGCGCTTTACCGCAATATTCCTAAATTATAAATATCAGAGATATCAGACCTTAACCTTCCAGGAACATTGCGCTTTGCAATCAAGGAGTATAATACATTTATTAAGGGCTTATAGGTTTCAACAACTTCTATAAACAAAAATTATTTATCCACCCAAGAAAACATTTTAAATACAAGTTTTTAAACAGAGAAAATTAAAAATTGTTAGAATTAAAATATTATTCGAATTAAAATAATATTAATAATCCATGAATTGGAGAAGACGGGTGGGAGTCTTCACTCAACCTATGTTTCCTCATCCACTATGTACCTTACCTGCCTGCCATGCTTTTATTATGATAAAAGTACACTTTTCAGAACTGTAAGCAATTAATCAATTCCAAATCAATTTTAAGACAATTAATCTTAAAACTGGAATTTTAATAGCATCCAAAAAACATACAAAATAAAATGGAATTTCCATTTACTTGGAAATGTTCATTATCCTAAATTATATTAACCTTTTATATAAGAGGGTTAATTCTAAAATTTTAAAGATTAAATAAAATACAAATATTATTCAAAAGAATAATTCACACAGGTCTACAAGGTTTTTCTTTTAGATAACAGAGTGAGTTGCACTGTATTTTTGTGTGCTGGATACGATCCCGGGTTCTAAAATAATGTATCACGTCAGGATTTTTTAAAAATAAGGGGAAACCCCCAAAAAACATGGTATTTGTGGGTTTCCATTATTTTTTTTTAACCTGAAGTTGGAATGTCAGGTTAAGAAAAAAACTACTGAAAACCAACAAAAACATGTTTTTAGGGTTTTTCCTCCTATTTTTTTAAAATCCTGACGTAATACATTATTTAAGAACCCGGGTTCGTGTCCAGCACACAAAAATACAGTGGAAATCACTCTGATATCTAAAAGAAATATCTTGTGGACCTGTGTAACCGACCCTGGAATGAGACCATTTTGACTTGGATGGATTGATAATTTTATTCCATTACTATTTATTACACTAAGTGATAAATTCTTCATTAAATTTATTAATCGACCATGAATCCATAACGGTCTCCAGTTCCTTCTGACTTAAGGGGAGGTTCCCATTGCGGGAGTAAAAAAAATATTTTTTTTATTGCATTTTTTGAAAGCTATATATATGTGGAATGTGTGTGTAAAGCGATTTTTTGATCCGAAGAATATTTTCGTTTCTATAGCGTCTTGAACTCACCGACGTTCCGAAACTGAGAACCGCTGAGGTCGTAAGTCTTCCGCCATATTGGATCCGCTGTTTTGAATTTTGAAAATCTGATATCATATTCGTAATCAGCGACCCCAAAAACTCCCGAGTAAGGAATTTTAGGCATTGAATCGCTTTTTAAGAGTAGACAGATATTACACATAAAAATGC